TTATGCAAATACAACAGAGGCTAGAGTGAATCTTTAAACTTCCTTTTGTCAGACTTGCAAGATGGTTGCAGGGATAAAAATGCGTTGGGTATGGCTGGCAGCTGTGCTGTTTGAGGGGAAGGCACGGCTAGTAGAAGTTGGTCACATCAGAAGTGAGACTCTAAGAATCGCAGCCTGCCCCTACCTTGGATCCCAGCCCTTTTCCTGATTTGCCAAAATGTGAAGCACCTCTGCCACTTACTATAGCTGCTGTGACCTTCCTGCAACAGCAGACTGAAACCAGGAGCCCAAAGAAACCCTCCTCAGTTAGGCTGCTTCTGCTCACCATTTGCCACAGCAATGAGAACAATGAGTAATAAAATGGGGCATCTCACTCCTCATCACAAACACAGAAGCCTAGATCTGGGACAGCAACCACAAGAAGTTCACGAACGTGACGTGAGGCCGTCTCAGACGATAGTTCCAGGAGTGGCATCCGAGCTCTGCAGCACGGCTCGCTAACACTGCCTATCAGTCAAGATGAGAAACCAAGGTCTGAAAGGCAGCGTGACAGGCACTGCACACAAATGAAATCAGCAACGGAGCGTGACTTGCACTGCACACAAATGAAATCAGTCAAGGATTTAAAAAAAATTACTTCAAGCTGGCTCTACCAAGAATGCAAGAACTAGAAGGGATTCCGAATAGTTAAATACAAAGAATTATTTCTGGAAAAAATTTGCTTTTGAAAGTCCAATTTGAATGTTTTTCTACTTAAAATTTGAAGTAAGACATCCATTTGTTAGGGTAAAGGAATTTCAGATCTCTGTGCATGCGTAAGTGCAGACAGAGAATGTCACACTCACACCGACTTTCAGGGACAGCTTTTAGCTTTCCCTTCTCTTCATTCTTCACCTACAGAGAGCCGACTGATGCAGCAGTTTGCTGAAAAGACTGTTTTTTTATGCCAGCATTGAGAATGAGGGAAGAAGAAGCAGACTTTGGGAGCTAAGGAGAACAAAGCTGGCATTTGGTGCTGGCAAATTGCCTCCCAGTCGGACGTGTTAAACCCAGGCAAAACCACAACTAGAAAAGGATGAACATTAAAACCTGTGTTTGGGAGCCAGGGAGAGAGCTCAGTGGATGAAGTGCGTGCTGTGCCAGCATGACAGCCTTAGGACTGGATCCCAGAACCCTGTAAAAACCAGACATGGTGGTGCACATCCTTAATTCCAGTGCTGGGGACTGGAGACAGGCAGATCCTTGGGGCTTGCCAGTCAATCAAACCCAAACAGTGAGCTCCAGAGTCAGGTAGAGATCCTGTCTCAGAATATACACACACACACACACACACACACACACACACAAAACCACACACACACTTACATAACACACACACTTACATAACACACACTCACCCTCTCTCTCACACACACACTCACATAACACACACACACTCACACACACACACTCACTCACACACACACACTCACCCTTTCTCTCTCCTTCACACACACATACAGACACACACATACACAGTAACTTAAATTGAAGCACAACTCAGATTTGAACTAGCAGTCTTAAGAAAGAGCAAGTGATTCTGCACGTGGGTTGAACTTCATGTAAAAAGGATGAAGAATGGGAAAAAAGGAAGAACAAAGCCTCAAAGTTTGGAGCAATAAATAGAATAAGGAATTGCCTCATTCCTTATAACGCCTGAGTCATAAGTAACAGTCAGTTAAAATACTTAAATATTAGGGGCTGAAGTAGTGACTCAGCAGTTAAGAGCACTGGCTGCTTCTCTAGAGGACACAGGTTCAATCCCCAGCACCACATGCCAGCTCACAATTGTCTGCAACTCCTGTTCCAGGTGATATGGATATGAGTGCAGACAAATTACCCATATACATTAAGTAAATAAAAATGTTTTTAAAAGTCTTTATTCAAACAGATCACATGTACCAGTTTGAGGCTTTTTATGCCTGGTACTGCTGGTGAGATCTGGGAGCTTCCAGCTGGCCTGGAATTCGATCTGTACAAACTGACTCCAAGAAACTTACTAGCGCTGTCATTCTGGGGTCAGGACTTAAAACAAACCTAAGGCAAGCTTGGAAAACTATGGGGACATGGACAGGGGGAAAAGCCCCTCACCCAATAGTCTGCTCAAAACTCCGCGCCAGCTGAGGCAGGAATCCCAGCATTATACATTTGCTTCAAAGGGCGCAGGAATAGGAATAATATTCCTTTACATGCCCCTAGCTTATTTCCAAATAGCAATGACTCAGGATCATGACTGAGTCTGACTTTGGGCCTGGCCTGATTCCTTTCCCCAGATATTTTCTGGGCAATTCCAACAAGACTCTCAGTGACTGCACCTGCCTCCCTGCATCGACTGCAGACCTGGGGAGTCCCCTCAGCAGCCTTGCAGTGACCTCATTTGAGTTCCTTAATGATTCTTTACAGATAACGGCTTCACATTGCCAGATCAATCAGATACCCACAGGCAAAGAATGCAGGGGGCCCCCAAGCTCTCCCAGAGACACCCACACCCATGCACTGGGGCACACCTCTCTTTCTCCTAACCATCGTGCTTAAAATCCATATAAAAATACCTTTATTAGACTCAACTCTGCTTCATGCTAACCCATCCCAAAATTCTCTTTTGTATTGAAGCCACAAATCCTGGCTTGAGATCCCTGAAAGATTAGAGGAGGGATACCTCAACCTGCTAAGGGAGACAAGCAGAGCTTGCCCCTGCGCCCATCCCTCTAACCACTGACAAAATCTACACACTGGTAAGTGTCTCTATGAGTCTGTCATGCAACAGAGAAAAGTTGGAAAACAGAGGCTTGCTAGACTTTAATGGGAACTAAAATGTCTCTAAAAAATAAAAGGCATGCGAGACCTTGAAACTCACAGCCTCTGCAAGTCACCTGGGCAAGACAGTGACTTTTCTAAAGGGCAGGGCAGCCCTCATACTTAAAACCCCCTTTAATATGACAAGTAACCTTGGTTCATTTTCAGAGCTAGGCCTGACAAAGGAAAACTAATGGACCAAGAAAAGCTCTCAGAGACCTCAGCTGGGCCACAGGGGTTAGCCAACAATTCTATAGCTTGTCCCACAGCACAGTGCTCATAAGAGAGGGGGGTAAAGCACCCTCACTATTCCCCACTACAGTGGGCAGGTGGCTTATTCAAGGAGTGTTCGAGGCCCAGCATGGGGGCTCATGTCTAGAATCTCAGCATTTGGGATGCCAAAGAAGGAGGATTGCCAAGAGTTCAAGGCAAGCCTCTGCTACACAGTAAGTTCCAGTTCAGCTTGGGCTAAGGAATGTGATCTTTCTCAGTACCCCTCTCCCTAATCAGTGACATCTATAAGAGGCCTGGTGCCTGTCAGCAGGGTTCCTGACATGCAGGGTTCTTAGCACACCGTGCTACAAAAGGCTTTCCTCTGCCAGCTTTGCCAGGGACCAGGGGATAGGTGTATTCCACTGAAGCAAAGCCACAAAGGTAAGGTAAGGTAAGAGATTGGGTCTCTGGGCAGTGGTGGCACACGCCTTTAATACCAGCACTCGAGAGGCAGAGGCAGGGAGATCTCTGTGAGTTCAAGGCCAGCCTGGTCTACAGAGCAAGTTCCAGGTCAGACTCTAAAGCTACAAAGAAACCCTGCTCAAAAACAAACAAACAAACAAACAAAACACAAGGATTGGGCCTCTTTGTGGTGTATAGGATGCCTAGGTGACCTGAGGGCACTGTCATTCAGGAATGAGGCAGGTCATGCTGGGTACTCCTGCACATACACCGTCCTCAGCTTAACTAGAACAGATGAATCAGACTCCACGGGTCCATCCAGAGCTCTTCCAGAGAGGGATGCTAACCCTCCACTGCTAGCCTTGCTAAAGATGAGAGGCACCCCACAGGCAAGCACTGCACTGTCCTTTGAGTGCTTGTCTGACAGGCGATGAATATGGGTTAAGACCATGTCCTGTGCCGGATTTAGCCCAGCTCTCTCATATCATGCCCAGTGTTTTAAAAGGCTCTTCTCTCCCTGAAAAGCCTGCGATATAAAATCAGAAGGACCTAGAAAGGTTCTCCTTGGGAGCCCACCACCCAATCCATCTATCTAGAGATTTTGTGCACAGAAAGGTGTTCTGAAGGGAAAGCAGGCTGTCCCCACATGGGGAGAGCGCCTGCAAGTGTGGACATCAAAGGAAAAGGACAGTCCAACTGAGTTCATACCCTCCACACAAGCCAGCTCCTCCAGCAGGATACAGTGGGGTTCCTACAAGGATGTCAGCCCTATATTCTCTAGATCGATATTGGGCCACTCTAATAAGCCCCCTATTATCGTCCTAGACAGCCTTGGTGGTCTGTGTTAGCTAGTTTTCCATTACCACTACAATTAGAGATAATCAGCATATAAAGATGAAAGCATCACTCGGACTCACAGTTTCAGAGGCTTCAGCGTGAGGTTGGCCACTGCTTTTTGGGCCCATGGTGAGACAGTATGTCATGGCACGTGTTCAAGCCTCTCACCTCACAGGGGCAGCAAAGAGAAAAGGGGCTGGGGTCCCAGCATGGCACATCTCAATGACCTAACTTCCTCCTACTGTGACCCATTCCTTGAAGTCCTACCAATAATACCACAAGACTAGAAACAAGCCTTTAACACATGGGCCTTTGGGCACATGGGTCCGAACTCTAACCTGTCTGACGTGAACTAGTGGTTTCACATTTTACTAACATCAGTAAGTTATTTCCTAACACTGCACTACCAGTTTTGGGCCACAGAAGCAAGTGCTCGCCCTGACAACGCCCTACAGCATTTTCAGGATAGATGTCATATGGGAAGACTTGCTAGGTACAGTCCTTGTTAGGGACAGGGTCAGACAAGTGTGGCTTTGGAAACAAAGGGTGAGCTGTACTTACATAGTTCATCTTACAAATATGCAAGGCTTTGACACTTGAACAACGCTTTTTAAAGGGTAAATAAACCACTCACCAAGACTGTCTTTCTACAGGTCCTAGAGCCATGAGGCCCCGGCATCCCTTTACTCTGTCACCAGGGCACTGCAGCCGGGAGCTCTAGCAGCTGCTTATCTGGTAAACTAGAGGAAACTGTGAAAGCGCTCCAGGTAAATGATACTGTGGAGTCCTCATGCCTCATCCGTGAGCATCCCCGGGCCATAGGCTGCATCTGCCTGGTCACATAGATGAATGTGTGATGGCTAACCATCTTTGTCAATTTAACTAGGTTTACAATCAGCCAGAAGAAAAACACATCTCATGTGTCTGTAAAGGCCTTCCAGGGAGTATTAAGTGAGGGAGAAAGACCCACTCTAAATGTGGATGGACCATCCCAAGGCTCAGGTCCCGGATATAATAAAATGTGGAAAGAAAAAAGAGCCAGGTGATCTATTGAGCCTTGGACAGCAGATCAGTACCCATCCCAAGTATACACATGGACTTTGGACTCCCATAGAACAATGTGAGGTGCACTCTCACCCTGAACTCTTGGGGAAGGGTCTAGGCCCTGCCCTATATGAAATGACAGACTATGGACACCCCCATGGAGGGCCTCACCCTCCCTGGGGGAATGAGGGGATAACGGGGGGGGGGGGGATGGGGGGAGGACACGGGAGGAGGGGAGGGAAAGGGAGAGGGACCTCGAACTGACTTGTGAAGCAACCTTGTTTCTTATCTAAATTTAAAATGGAAAATAAAAAATAATAATAATAAAAAAAAAGAAAAAAGAGCCAGAAATAGACAGTATCCTCTTTTTTGCTTGGTTGGCCATGTAGCAAACAGTTATCATGCACATTAGACTCCTGTCACCATGGGCTCTCTGCCCAACACATAGGACCAAGTGACCATAAACCAGGCCCTCTTTTTATTTTTTAAGATTTATTTATGTATTTATTTATTATGTACACAGTGTTCTGTCTGCATGCCAGAAGAGAGCATCAGCTCTTATTATAGACAGTTGTGAGCCATCATGTAGCTGTTGGGAATTAAACTCAGGACTTCTGGGAGAGCAGCCAGTGCTCCTACCCTCTGAGCCATCTCTCCAGACTGAACCAGGACCTTTTAACCCATGAGCAAAGCCAGTCTTTCCCCTTCAGCCATCTGTTAACGTACTGGCCACAGAAACAAAACCCGCAGCCCGGGTGGGATTTCTTTTTGTCTCTGTAACATCATTACCAGATCACACTGGATCAGGCCTCTGTATTGAACACCTTTAGAAGAGAACCACCTTCCTTCTTTTTCACCTTGCTGGAGAGAATATTCTGGCTTGGCAAGGGACTTCATTTTTTAGAAAAACTTCTTCCTCATCCATATGAGTTCTAGGTTCCAAGTGTTTACAGGTGGGCAATTAGCAAACGGTTTGTCATGACATGAGCCCAGCTGCGTGATCTCTTATTGCTCACCACCCAACTGGTGTTTGTCAGTGTGTCTTCTAGAAACTCCCCCTTTCAAAGAGCTCAGGTCTGTTCGTTGGTTAGAAAAACAACACCGTAGCAACAAATCATCTCTGAGTCTCATTCACTCAATGCGGCCAAAGTTTATTCTGGCTCGTGGTGTGGCTTCCCGCACGTCAGTGGGATGGGGCTCTTGCATGTGGCAAGGGGCTTCAGGAAGCTGGTTCCTTGTGTCTTGTGGACCTGCCATCTTCAGCACTAGGGAAAGTCAGAATTAGGTGCTGCAAGGTATGACAGCCATCTCTAAAACCAGAGACTTGTGACAAGAAAATCTTGGAGGCCTGGGTTACAGTCTGGTAGATCCCAGAACCAATGTTGAAAGCACAGTACTAGTTTTGGGTGTTGTTTAAATGTATCTCAAGGCTCATAAATGGGGCACTTGGTCCTTGTTAAACCTTTAAGGGATGGGGCCTAGGGCAGGTCACTAGGGATCCAACCCTCAATGGGAGTTAGTGTAGGTGTTATGAACCCCTCCCCCACTTCCTGTCTTGATGCAGAAGGGCTCCCTCTTTTATACCCTCCTCCCACACTATGCCAAGCTCCACAAGATCCTCACGAGAGCCAAGCTGATACCAGCACATACCCTTGGATCTCCAAAACTGTGAGTTAAATAAACTTCTCTTGATAACATGCTTGGCTTTGAGTATTTTACCACAGGAATGAAGAAATGGAATCACACACTCAGAACCGGGGTCAGAATCCTAAGGTTATCTGGGGGTCTGAAGAGACTTGTAAGGCCGAAGGCTCTGTAGAGCAAGGGCTCCAACATCGGAGACCATGGGTTCAAGTCCTGGTTTGTCTGTCACTACTTGTCTCAGCTGACACTGAGACACACCGTTTCTCTGAGCTCCTGTGGCCTCCTTTGTACAAATGAATATTGTTCGTACTAATAGTTCTCAAGCTTAAGGAGGCTAGTTCCCAAGCTAGAAGGCACCAGACCAATACCATGGAATATTCATTTTCCTGCAGAAGTTTCACTAGCTGAGCCAGCTTCTCCCATCTGTTCAGTGAGTACAAAGAGGTTGACCTTGGAGTTTCCTCCAAGTTCCTGTGGGAGGGGATCCTAACCACACAACACCGCCCTCTCAGTCCTCAGAGGCCCTTATGTCCTGGGCCTGCCAGCCCCAAGTTCTGGAAGGCTCTGCAGCTCATGTGTCTACCAGATGACAGTGGAAGGACTCTGAGATGCTCCCAGAAAGACTTGCTCCACAAACACCACACACTGTCTAGACCCTGTCCCCATGCAGGGCCCAGTTTCCAAAAAGGGTCATCCTCATTTGCCCTTACCCAACCCATCCTCCTTCCCAGCTCTGGGATTCTCCTATGTTGTGTATTTTGTCCACCAGTCCCAGACCATGTCCTCTGCTGCCCCTCAAAATTCCCCTGAGCTGGACATGCCAGCAGAAACATCCAGAAAAGAACATCTTGATTTCAGCAGAGCCCTTAACAGCACATCTCCCAATGTCTGTGTCTGAATGCCAGCCTAGACGTCAGATGCCCTGTTTCTCCACTGGCCCACTGGGCAGTCTTATTTGAGTCTGTATCTGTGAAACTCAGGGTTAGACAGAGCAAGCATGTTTCAGTTCTGAGATTGAAGGTACGACTTGGGGGAGAGCCCAGTGTAACCACAGTGGATCCTGGCTTCTTCTTTTTCCAGCAGGATAGAGGTCTCTCTGTCATGCCTTCTTTTGTCTTCTTCTCATTTTTTAAGATTTATTTATTTATTATATATACAGAGTTCTGTCTACATACCAGAAGAGGTCATCAGACTCATTATAGATGGTTGTGAGTCACCATGTGGGTGCTGGGAATTGAACTCAGGACCTCTGGAAGAGCAGTCAGTGCTCTCAACCTCTGAGCCATCTCTCTATCCCCCCTCCTTTTGGCTTCTGCTGGAACAGATGTAGGCTCCCTATTGTGTCAGGATCGGACCAGAAGTCTTTGCAGACAAGCCTGCAAACCTGGCTGTGCAATTGGCCCTTGGCCAAAGCCTCCTGCCACCACCAAGCTAGGGCATGATACTCCTCAGGTCACTTCAAATTTCAGTGTCCCTATCCCCACCACCATGCCCTGGTAATGGAACCCCTTGTCACCTCCTCCCTCCCTAAACTCCTCTGAAGACCAATTGTTTCAGAAATGTACTGAAAAGCTGCCAGTCACACACACACACACACACACACACACACACACACACACACATTTTATTTTTATATAAAATAAAGGGTCATGTGCCCAACATCCTTTACAGTTTAATAGCCCAGAGGTCTCCTTAGATGTTTCCATCCCCCAAGAGAGGCTCCCTATTCCACAAGCTATCTGGGGGCTTCTTGCAGAGAGGTACATCAAAGAGGTCTTACAGTGTAGCACAGAGGGCCTACAGCCCAAGGGAGAGGGGCTGTGCTTGAGAACAGAGCTCATTTCCTGCACTTTCCCTTACCAGCCATTGGCAGAACCTGGTCAACTGCTTTTGCACAGACTGTAATCAGAGGTGTGGTTCTTTGGCATTTAATCTGTCTTGATCCATCCAAATGGGCTTGGCACGGGGCACAGGCCCAGGAGGACTGCAGGAGACTGGGGTACGGGGCGGTTCAGGACACACATCTGGACACCCAGCTGAAGAGCAGGGAGGCTGGCCACGCCTGTCCTTCTGGAGCAGTTTGGGGAACAAGATGCCGCTCCAGGGTTATACCTCAATCTGTCATACCCATCTCTGTCCTGTGGTCCCTCCTCTTCCTCCCTCCCAGCTCTGAAGTCAGTCGTGCTGGGACCTGTCCCAACTGTAAAAAGCACAGGACTCTGGATCCAGGGATAAATTTCCAGGCCAGCGCCCTCCAGGGAAATAAACTGGAGTGGGGTGGGGGAGGTGGAACCTTATTTGTGGTGGGTGATCCTGGGCTCCAGTGAGTGGCAATTATCCACAACCAGAAACAGGCCTTGCATTACTGCACTCCAACGCGGCCTCCTGGCCAAAAGCCTCCCCAGGTTCCTGGACTCAGCTTAAACCCCCAGCTCAGCCAGTGAATGGCAAAGGCCTTCAACTGGGCCAGTATACATGTGGCCCCTCTGAATCCTGGCATGTCCACACCCTTCCTCTTGCCTTTCATCTCTCTCACCCTCCAAAGTCTCCTAGATGTTATTCTTCCTGGAGCAGGGGCTCTCGGTCCCCTCCTTGTACCTGCTCATCCTCCTCCTTTTCCATGCAGCCCACTGTAGCAGCCAGGCCAGCACCCACACCGCCCCCAACGACAGCAGCCCCAGTGGCCCCCACGGCTGCCCCAGCTGCCACCATCCCGGCTTCCGCAGCCAATGCTGCTGCCGCCATGCCTGCTCCCACCACACCCCCTGCCAGGCCCATGAGCCCAGCACCTACGGCGCCCCCGACTGCGGCCAGGTGGCCACAGAAGCGCATTGTGTAGGAGTCCATGAAGGCCTTGGCCTCTGCCTGCAGCTCAGCTTCCAGGGCCTCCAAGGTCTGCTCTCTCTCCTTGCACAGCAAGGCCACACCATGGCGAGCCAAGATGGCGTCCTTCTGGGTAGAGAGCAGGTTCCGCATGGTGTCAGGCAGGACTCGGAGCGCAGAGAAGATGCGCTTAGTGGCTATGTCCTGTGGCAGTGCGGGGAAAGTAGGTGGTTCACCTGGGTACCCAGGCATCCTCTCTGGCAAAGCCTCCCCCGCAGACCCTGGGGCTCACCTGCTGCCTCACGTATTCCTCAAACTCCTTCTTGGCAGCTTCCACTTTCCTCAGGTCATGGAGCTGGGCAGCCATCTGTGCGAGCGAAAACCCAGGCTGCCTCCCTCTTTCCTCCTCAGCCAGGGATACTACTGGTTCCTCATATCTACTCCGAGGGCATGCAGACCCTTACCCAAGATCACCCTCCCTGACCCCACCCTCCCTGGGGGGAGGGGCTCCTCACCTCATCTGGGGAGCTGAAACTGGGTCCAGTCTTCCCCATCCAGCCTGAGAGGTTCTGCAGAAACATCACAGCCAGGTCAGGGAGGGCAGGAGCCCCAGGGAGACCAGGGTCCCCAGGAAGTTTTCACACCTTGATCTCCTGTGCTAGCTGCTGCCCTGTGAGCAGGCGTCTGTCCCCCCTGGCCACAGCACGGCCCTCACTCCAGTACCCTTGGCAGCGGCTCTTAGCATGCTGAGGTGCTGTGCTCAGCACATCCAAGATGTAGGCCCGGAAGAGGTGGGAGAAGTCATCTTCTGTGTCTGAGAAAGAGATTCTGTGGGCTGAGGAGCCTGGGCCTGGGAGAGACTGGGCCAAAGCTGGGAAGCAATGCCAGGGAGGCCTCCGCCCCTGGAACACTTACTGCCTCCTGGGCTTGCTTGGCCTTTGTTTACCCACTGCCTCTCAGGAGCAGGCAGGAGGTAACAGCGGGCCCGTTTCCCTAGGAGCAGCTCCTGGACCTTGGGGTATTTGCCAGACAGCTTCTGAGAGATGGATTGAGGAGAGCTCTGAGCCAAGGGAGCAGCCCCCCTCTGTAAGCACACTTCTGGGATGCCACCCAGTCTCCCTCACCTGCTGCCCTGGCATCAGTCCATTCCCTCTGCACTACTTACCTGGAGTATGTCACCCATGTGCCCTTGCCCTGACTTATTGTGATGAGAAGAGTCACGAACTAAGAGGTCCAGATGCTGGAAGAGAAAGGGTCCCAACACCAGCAGCTGAGATTGGCAATATCTGGACTGACAAGTCCAGAAATAGGTGTCTCACCTGGATTGGCACCATCCCATAATGCTTGCCCATCACCTCAGCCACGTGAACAAACATCTGGGAATGGATACAGAGAGTTTTAGTGTTGGGCTACTCAAAGAGCTACAGTCTGACTCCTAAGTCTTCTTTCTAGTAACCCTGGACCACTAGAGGAGTCAAATTTCCCACTTCCAACTTGAAGATTCTCCTGCCTTTCCCCAAACCAGGTACTTTGTGCTCAACCATCTGTCCTGAAGCCCACTAAATCAGTTCAAGTGCCATAAAACCATAAGCCTGGATGGGAAGGCATGAGTTCCCTTTGGTCAAGCCCTTCTGACCTTGTGGTAAGGGTGTGTGGAGGTGATGGCTTCAATAGGGAGACTGCCTCACCTCTAGGTAGCCCAGGTCTGTGTCCTTCAGCTCTTGGGAGGTGTTCAGGATCTAGAACAAAGGAAAACAGGAAGATGCAAGATTTGCAGAAGTAGGAAGGGTTCTATGAGGGGCTCTGGAGTGGCCTTTATCTCAGAGCACAAGCCCAGTCCGGCACAAGCCCAGTCCAACACAAGCCTAGGTGCGAGCCATCTTCAGAAGACCTGGAGAGCTTTGTGGTCCTGTGGGCTTCTAGCTGTCCCTGAGGCCTACCGTTCCACCTTTAGAACAACCCACCTGCCCACCTTTAATAGGACATCTTCCTCCTTCCAGAAGCACCTTCCAGAACCTGCATGAACCCCAGGCACCTAAATCCTCCAAGTTCTCAGTGCTGAGCTGGGAAGTGGTGTAAAGGAGTGTGTGCCATCCTGGGGAGTGGTGTGCAGGGTGGCTTCCCCACCCAAGCACCTCTCACCTGGTAGGAGCTGAGCATCATGGTGAGAGCACAGAGCTTGACCCTTGTTTCCCTGCTCAGTTCTGGGCTCATGACATCTCCTGTGTCCACTAAGAACACAGCCACCTATTGAAGACACAAACCGAAGGGTTAAGCCTGCCTTGCTTTGCCCAACCCCTTTCCTTGCCCTTACCCCAGAGATGTCCTTCTCATTCCTCTCTTCCCTTTCTCTCCCCTCCATCCCTCCACCCTGTAATCTCCTATCAGTTTCCCTCCTTGGACCACGCTAACTCCCATCTGCTTTTCTCCTCACCTTCTTCCCTTCTTTTCCCAGCAGAAAGGGGTGACTCCACATCCAGATGCCCCTGGTAAGGCCATTGGCACCCCATCTGATCCCAGGCAGGGACCCCTCTGTTCTGGGCCTGCCACTGTCACCAGATTCCTGAAGGTGGAGAAGAAGGTATCAAGTGGTCCACTGTGCATCCCCAGAGGTGCCTCCCTGCATCCTCCTGCCAGCCCTGCCCTCACCAGGCTTGGTAAGCCTCTAAGCAAGTGGTCCAGGAGGAAGGACTTTCCTGAGTGCTGCTCTCCCAGGACAGCAAGTAAACAGACAGGTGTGTCCCTGGCCAGTGGATGCTTCAGGCAACGGTTTATGGCTCCCATCCTGAGGATGAGGCCTCCAGAGGCATTGATCCGCACCAATAGCAGCCGCTCTGCCCTCACAGCACAGGTCTCCTGGAGGGACAGAGAAGGGTCCCCTGAGCATCGCAAATGAGACCGAACCCAACCAAGTTGGGAGCGTGTTCAACCTGGGACTCTGTGCCCCTCCCTAACAGTTTAGAATAGGGTCAAAGTGAATCCCCCACCTTGGGTCTAACCTGAGATCTCTGAATGCAGAGATCTCACCCCTCACCTGCAGTGCAGGGGGCAGCGGCTTCTGTGGCAGAAGCCTCATCCTCTCCCCTAGACTGCGGAGGCCTTTCTTTTGCTTGCAGATTTTCCGGCACTCGGGGCAGCAGGGTGTCTCACAGCCTGGGATGCGGTGCGTGCTGAAGCACCGAACGCAGAAGTCATGGCCACAGTCCAGTGAGACAGGCTCTCGAAGCCTTTCCAGACAGATGGAGCAGGTGGGCGGCTCCCGGGGTGGGGAGGGACGGTGTCCCAGGCCCAGCTCCAGCTTGGGGAATGATGCATGGGACCTGGAGGGTAGGACATCGGTTGAAAGTTGGATGCCTGTCGGGTGCAGGGTTTGGAGGGCTGACGGCTTAGGAGTGAGGCCCCTCTATGCCACCTCAGTTTCCTGGTGCCACATGGGGGATGAGCTCCACCCATTCCTCACTTCCTTGTCCCCCAGGTCCTGGCCATCCTAACTGAGAGCAACAGAACAGAGGGGACTGAGTACCGGCCCCCCAGAGCAACCCTCAGGGAATCCTGGTTCTGCACATGCCAGCCATGCAACCATGGGTGAGGTCCAAAGGAGAGACTGGCAGTGACATGGCTAGGTCTGGGGTTCGTCATCAGCGACGACTACCTCATCTACAAGGTGTTCAGGGCCAACACTCAGGAAACCCATAGAGCACCAGCCTGCTTGCCGCGGGCTTCCTCAAAGGGGCACAAACTACAACCCCAGCTGCTGGGGTAGTCAGGAGAGGGCGGTAGCTTCCTGGCACCTAGGCAGCCATTCTGCAGCGGAACAGATGGTCAGGTTCTCGGAGGATTCCTTGTGCGCTCCGAGCTGAGCATCTGTAGCACCCACCTGCTTGTCCTGGTCCCTCCCTGCACAGCCTGGCCCATCCGGCCTTGTGCTTCCTCCCTGGGGAAGAGCCCTGCAGAGCGCTCAGCAGAGAAATCTGCTGGACTGCAGAGATCCGTGCTCCTGGACCAGTTTTGCCACCTGACCTGCCAGCCCACTGCACCAATCCCAGCCCAGAAGGCCCCGTGGCTCACCAACTGTTGCTGCTGTTTCCCATGAAGCTTCTTTTGCTCTCCTAGGAGGGGGGAGGGGACAGATTTAGAACAGAATCCAGACCCTGTCTTCCTGCCCGATTTCCAGGGTCCTTCCGCCGCCACCCTTCCCCCTCCCAGGTGGCTTCTTCCCACCCCCAATTCTCCTTCCCAGATTTTAGGGCTTGAAAACTTGCCCGTTTGCCAAGCCGGTGACAAAACGCAGTGACTGACAGAGCGGGCCTCGGCATGGGAGGCTGGAATGGCAGAGGGTCCGATGCTCAGAGATGAAGCCCACCGAGACCTTTTGCCGGTAGGACAGCCTTTCACCCAGAGGGCTAGCGGAGCAGGGGGATGGGCTCTTCAGAGGCTCTGCCTAGCTGTCAGCGCTGGAGAATAAATGAGCTGGTCAGAAAAAAAGAGGCTGTAAAGGAGGGTGGATTCACCCCAGGGGGAGGAGACAGGGCTGCGGGTACCAGGGCTTTAGGAGGAGGGATGAACCGAGCCCAGCTCAGAATCCCTGGCAGAGGCTGGGATGCAGGCAAGCCGAGGCGGCGAGTCTCCATGGAGACGAAAGGGAAAGATAAGGACAGGGAGGAGGAGGGGGTCGGAGAGCGTGAAGCCACGTGGATGCACCTGGCACAGCAGGAAGAGGCTCCTAATGGAGCCCAGGAGAGCAGTGGCCCTACAGGAGCAGTTGGTGTCTTCAGAGCCCCGGGGCAGGGTGGGCAGAGAGGAGGGTGTAGAAGAATGTGCACCGGGGCAGACCAGAGAAGCTATTGGTCCATCCCATTACCTACTTTGACTGAGCATCCTCTATGTGCAAGGGCAGCGTAATGCCACTGTGCTCCATGTGACCCTGTGCATCGTGCCATCCTCGCCCAGGATATGTCACTGGTGCCTGCTAGCTTGCCATCTTCCTCATTATATGGGGCTCTGCAAGTCCCTGGTAGGTGGGGAATGATTTTTTTACTGCCCCCCCCCCCCCCGCGGATTTTTCTCTGCTACAAACTTGTGAAGAGCCATCTCAAGGCCATTTTTTAAAAATTGCATTTAGTTTTTGACAATCTGATGCATGCATGCAATGTATCTTAACAAAAGCCACCACACACACACACACACACACACACACACACACACCTCTTCCCTGGACACCTTGCAAACAAGTTCCCTTTTCCCCGCCGTTGCCCTCTTTGTTTTTTTAATACCTCACTACGTCCAATTAGTTCATCCTACGTGCACACAGGTGTGAGAGTCCGCTGGAGCAAGGGCTACCTGCCGCACATCAGAAGAAAAGGGACTCTCCCCCCACCAGCAGCTGTCAGTTGCAGGAGCTCCTCAGATGGGGTAGGGTTTCAAGAGCCCTTCCCAGGCTCTGCTGGAATCTTGTTTGGCCTGACCTTGGGCAGATCTGCACATAACCACAGCTGCCCTGAGTTCACAAGTGCATCAGTCATGTGGTATCCGGAAGACGGCACTTCACAGTGCTCCTCCCCGTTCTATAGCTCTTACATTCTTTCCAGCCCTCTCTTCTTAGGGTGGAGGGGAGCACTGGGGTTGACAGAGGTGTTTCATTTAAGGCTGAGCACTCAACAGTCGCTTACTCTCTGCCATGAGTCTCCATTAACCGAGGTCCACTACAGACAGACACTTCTCTGATGAGGCTGGAGCAGCACTGATCCATGTGTACAAGCATAATAAATATTTAGAAAGCAGTTTGGCAACACTTCCATTCAGCAAACGACAGTGGTAGATTCCTTTTTAGTAAGACCCGTGGCCTCCCTAGCTTTGGGCTTTTGAACAGGATTACAGTATCAGGCATGGATTCCCTTCTGTGAAGCAGGCTTCAAGTCCAATAAGAAAGTGACTGGTTACCCATAACATTCATGTCACTGCTGCATCAGTGGACACATCTTGCCTGTTAGTCAGTGTTACGGGGTCCAGCGGCAGGAAAAACCACCAATGTCCTTTTCTCCCCAGTGTAACACCTTCCTTGAAAGGTAGCCAGCAGGAAGTTAGTCCCAGTCAGTCCTGGGCTGATTCCTCTATACCCTGCAACCAAAATGTGTGGTGTCTTTAGCAATAGAGTCTACCATTTAGCTATGATGTATTAACCAAGAATACTAGCAATGATCTGTATTGCTTCTGAGGCTTCCTTGACCATAACTCACTGGCTCACTGGGAGATACCACAGACCTCGCCCTGAGGTTTTTGTTTAATAGCCCATGCCTTTAAAAAAAATTAGATCACCAAGTAGTGAGTTTCCATAATGGTTTTTCATATATCCTTAGTTTTCATTAACCTGAACCCCACCCATTTCTCTCCAGCGTGTCTACTACCCCGTCCCCATTTAACCTTTAACCCTCTGTGTCCCCCTACTTTAATATCTAATGTGTTTTACTATCTCCTCCTCCCATTAAAGCCACTTTCCCTCCCCTCCCATGTGTCCTTTCTGGCTTTATGACCTCTACAGACACTTGAACTGAAACACACACACACCTAAATTTCAAAGCTAGGATCCAGATATGAGAAAATGGTGTGATGATCTTTCTGTGTCTGGGTTGTCTCAGTACTTTTTTTTCTAGTTTCACCCATTTTCCTGCAAATTTCTTAATTTAATTTTCCTTTATAACTGAATAGAACCCCACAATGTATGTGTACCGCATTTTCAAGATCCATTCATCAGCTGATGGACATCCAGGCTGATTTCATTTCCTGGTTATTGTGAACATGGATGTGCAGGTGTCTTCATGATAGGATGCTGAGCCTTAAGGGTGTATATTAGGTTCCTTTCTGTTGCTATGGTAAAGCACCATGGCCAGGGCAACTACAGAAGATGGGAGTGTCAGTTAGACTTGCAGTTCCAGAGAGATAAGAGTCCCTCATGGTGGGGAAGTGTGACAGCAAGTGACAGACATGGCAGCTGGAGCAGGAAGCTGAGTGGGCACTTCTTGAACCACAAGCAGGAAGTAGAGAGAATGACATGGTAACGGCACAAGGCTTTGAGACTCTCAAAACCCAGTCCTATGACACACTTCTTCCAACAAGATGACACTTCCCAAACTTCCCCAAGCAGCACCAGTTTTTGTTCTGGTTGGGTCTCAAAGGAACCTAGGTACCGGCTGTGTCCAGCCTGGCCCCTCCTCTCTCCCTTATATCTACAATAAAAACCTCCACACTTTAGGAGTAGTCATGTCCTCCTCCTTTTATTTCTTCTTTCATTCAGTTTCTGTTTTTGAAAGGGGGAGTCAGGAGGGCTGGGAATGTTTAATCTTTGAAGGGTTTTCCTCCCCTAACTTAAGAGTTGGTCAGTCTGAAGGATGACAGGGTGGGTGGGTGACCCATATTGTTGCATAAACATGTCCTGATCTGGTCTTGAACTTGTCAAGCCATCCTGTCTGTAGAGGTTCTACAGGAAGAAAAGCCTGCAAGGCCTTTGTTTTAAGCTCCCAGGCTTTTGTCTTGAATCCAGAGGGTGAGGAAGAAGACAGGCATCTTGGAAGTTCACCACCTTTATTACCTAGTCATCACTCCTCTCCATGTCTTGTCTGTCTGCCTACCAGGGAATCTAACTAGTTCCTCACCCCCTCCTCACTCTCAGAGGTCACCCTAACTGCTGTTAGGGGTTTAGAAGTACCAGCCTAGCTTCTTAGAGCTGCCAACAGGGGTGATGGGGGAGGAGAGGGAGGAGTAGCAGTCAGAATGCCTCAGAAGAGGGTTGAGCTAAAGTTTCACAATGAAACTTAACCAACGGCAAAGATTCAGAACATAAGAAAGCCATTCAGTGACTGTGTAATAGCGTTGTAGAACAGGGTTCCTATGGAGAGCATCTGTGTTCTATTACCAGTATCCCAGAAGTCAGATATTGGAGTGAAAACCTGACAGATGAAAGAAGCTGTGGAGGAGTGACCAACTGATCTCTCCACACTTTCCAGATCCAAAAGGAAGTCCTCAAATCTCCAAGTCCCTCCATATTCCTTCCTGTGCCTCGGTATCTGGTCTGCTGTATACTCTATGATTGATTCTTGTCAACTAGTCACTGGCTCCACCCTCTGATTCAAGGTCAACTTTATTAACATGGTCTCGAGTTGTCGCAGTGCGATCAAATATCCTCCACAGGTAACTATAAGATTATAGTTGACCTTGCTCAGCCTTTGGTTAGCATAAAAGAGGAATGTCTATTGAGACAGTCTGTCTCCCAAGATACTCTGTCTCACCTGGACAAACAATTTCGGGAAGGATAGACTGCAGAGGAGAAATGTGGGTTATGGCTGTAACAATCTCCTCAGTCCCAAGTCCCTCACCACACCCCTACAAAGGGTTGTAGGCAGCTTTGTTTCTTGGCAGACTGCTCAATTTCCTGAAGGAGAAAGGTTGTCCCTTGATGTGTGTGGTAATAAACACAGTCCCATCTGTTGAAGGTCAGACTCCGGTCACCTTCTGTTGTGTCTCTTTATGCTGACTCAGAAGCCTAACAGTACATCCTAGGAGCATGCTATGTGGGTGAGATAGCCTCTGTAGCATATGAAAAGGGAGATTGTTGGTACTCTTATAACCCTCTGGAGATGTAGCTAAGAAAATAGTCAAGAACAGTTTTGCCCTTATTCAAGGAAGAGAACAGGCAAGGACCCTAAAGAATACTTGCAGGCTCTGTCATAGGCATTAGCAAGGCTGATGGGTTGTTTTTGGTTTTGTTTCCCACTACTGTCCACTATAAAATGTTCACCGTGGAGAAGACCATAAGTCTGGTTCAAGATATTAAGGCACTCTTCACTAGCCAGAGTAAGACAGCTAGATGCCCAGCACCAGTATCCTATCAACAACTTCATCCGATTGTGAGGTAAAAACTCAACCAATGGAGTGAGACTCCATCTCTGACCTGCTTTAGGATTAAGCAAGCTTCACACTCCATTGTGCTTTCTCTCTCGTGGGCTTCAGCATCCATTGTTAGGTTTCAATGAGAAAGGGAAGGTATTTGAGAAAGAGGAATGTTAAGTCAAAGTCATCCTTCAAACAGGAGATTTATTAATACCAGAATAAGCCATGGCTGTGGGTGGGTTGGAGGGGTCTGAAGGCGCTTCAGTCCAGCCAGACAAAGCAAGACATCTACAAGGTTTGCAAAGGATGATGATGACTTGTAAGGAAGCAGGCTTAGTTAATATGTGATCCATGCTATGAGACTCAAGGTTCAGTGGGTAAAAGTGCTTATTGTGCAAATATGAGGACCTGAGTTCAAGTTCTCAAAATCCATATAAAAGTCAGGTGTCTAAGGCAAGCATATGTAATCCCAGCACTCCTATAAGAGAGATGGACTCAGAGATAGGAGAACCCCAGAATCTTGTGGGCCAATTAGCAGGCCAGCTAACCTAGTATATGCAGCAGAAGAAAAAATATCAGAAAGATCCTGTCCTAAAATGAGGTAGAAGGCAAGGACTGACATCCAAGTTGTCTGTCTTCTGACCCCTGTTGGAAAAGAATAATCTCAGTGTCACACAAAGGAATGCATGAACAAGGTGAGACTATCAGGTAAGGCAATTTCTTTTCATAAAAAGGGTGACCGTGACCCAAACCAGGCTAGCAAGTAGCAGCACACATGGTCCAGATGGCCTCTGTCTTTCATCCCTAAGGTAAGGAGTAGCATGGCTGCACCTCATTGCCTAAGATCCAACCCTAGAGTCTCCTCCCAACTGGCTGATTTTGAAAGTGGCTTGAAAAAAAAGACAGAGGGAGAATGCAGAATTATCGATGTTCATATATTTAAGCATTTCAGGAATTGCAGGAAGCTGGTTCCACCTGGTCAAACAAGCTGATCTAGCAAAGAATTGACAAAAGAGACTGGAGGCAGGGGGCAGGTCGTGAAGCAGATGCACAGTCATCAAGCCTGTTTGTAAGAAGAGAAATGAGGGCTGGAAAGATGGCACAGTGATTAAGAGCACTTGTTCTTGCGGAGGTCCTAGGTTTGATTTCTAGTGCTCCCATGGCAGTTCACAACTGTCCATGACTCCAGTCCCAGGATGGATATACTGACAGACAAGTAAAATGCTCATACACATAAGATAATGAAAGAAAAATTTAAGATAAAAAATGGCTGGGGGCTGGAGAGATGGCTCCGAGGTTAAGAGCACTGACTGCTCTTCCAGAGGTCTTGAGTTCAATTCCCAGAAACCATATGGTGGCTGATAACCATCTACAATTCAATCTGGTGTATATGTAATAAACAAATAAATCTTTTTAAAAAAGATAAAAAATGGCTGAATCTCTCACACCCCCACACAGTGACATGCCTGTATGCACACACATGAATCCATGCATGAGCACACACACATCACACACAAATACATATGCATACACACAAGTA